TCTGGACGACACAGGGCTCTGAGGGTGCACCTGGCCAGGTGGAGCCAGAGTAGAGCGGGGGCCTGAGCTGGGAACAGGGGCCAGGTGGGAGCTGGAAGGAGAGAGGGGCAGAGAGAGCCTGAGGGGAGGTTGGGAGCCTGAAGGAGGTGAAGGATCCCCCAGAGATGAGAGTGGGTGCTGATTTCAGTCCACTGTCACCCTCTCCACGGCGTGGGCATCACGTCACAGTTAATTTCTCTGTATGTGGTGGCTGATGGTGGGGGCCAGAACCCCTGCATCCAGGTGAACTTGGCTGACTGTTATAAAAATGAGCCAGCGGTGGATTTTGTATACTGGTGTGTACGTTTATTTCTTCACAGCAGGCTGAGACCCATCAGCTCAAAAGCCTAGGATTGCAAACTCAAAAATTTACATATCCAATAATTTAAAAATAGCCCAAACAAACATACTTTTAGCCATTTGCTTTGAACACCCCAAGAAACTTCATCTGCCACCTGTGCCCTATGAATACAGGCCCTTTGCACTGTGGCACGTTGGAGCTCTCTTACCCATGGGCTTCCCAACTTGCTGGGCGACATCACCAGGGAAACCTCCTCTCTGAGCTCCCTCTCCTCTAGAAGCTCCCTGGACCTGCCTCCCCTCTGCCCTCTGGATGGTGGGCCCCTGGAAATTGGTCCACTGGAACGTCTCATGTCATGGGGGAATCCTCTAACCCCCCACCAATGCAAACCAAATAAACATCCAAATAAATCTTGTGCATGCTACTGCCACTTGCAGTAGCCTCCAAATCCTGGAACTCATTCCCTCCACCTAGTGGCTGCCCCTTTCTGAGTCACAGCCCCCTCCTCTGTCAGATGAGGCCAGTAGTGCCCACCCCGTATAAATATTTCAAGGATTAGATGAACATCTGTAAGGATTAAGCCTCCTGCCTGGCATATAATAACTGCTCAGCGATGCTAGGAAACACAGGGCACTACCTTTCTCACCTCCTTTTGTGTATACATTTAAAAAATATTTTCTTACTGTTAATTGGAGGGGTTACGATTAACATCTTAAATTTGTAACAACCTGATTTGAATCGATACCAACTTCACCTCAAGAGCGTATGAAAACTACACCTCTGCTCCCCCTTTATGTCATCGTTCTCACAAATTACATCTTTCTAAGTCATGTGCCAAGTAAAACAGATTTATAATTACTTTTCATGCATTTGTGTCTTAAATTCTGTAGGAAAGAAAAAGCGGTGTTACCATCCCAAAATGTAGTATTACTGGTTTTTGTATTTACTTATGTAGTACCTTTCCGGAGATCCTTATTTCTTTGCATGGCTTCAAGTTTCTGTCTAGTGTCCTTTCATGGCAACTTGAAGGACTCTAGCATTTCTTGTAGGATGGGCATTCTGGTCACCTCCTCCCTCAGCTTTTGTTTTTCTTGAAATGCCTTACTTTCTCCCTCATTTTTGAAGAAATGTTTTGCCAGATGTAGAATTCTTGTTTGATGGTTTATTTTCTTTCTGCACTTTTAATATGCCATCCTACTGCCTTTAGGTGTCCTGGTTTGTGATGAGAAATTGGCTGTTGGTCTTGCAGCAGGTCACTTGCACGTGACCAGTTGCTTCTCTGTTGCTGCTTTCAGGATTTTCTCTTCGTCTTTGTGTTTTGACAGTTTAATTATACGTCTCAGTTCAGATGTCTTCGAGTGTGTCCTACTTGGAGTTATTGAGCTTCTTGGATGTGTAGATTCATGTATTTCATCAGATTTGGGAGGTTTTTGGCCATGACTTTTTCAGACATTCTTCTGCCTCCTTTTCTGTCTGTTTGCCTTGTGGGACTCCCATAATGTGTATGTGGCTTTAGTTGATGGTATCCCACATGTCCTTTAGGTTCTGTCCACTGTTCACTGTTCTTTTTTTTATTTCTGTTCCTGAGACAGGATAATTTCAATGACCTTCCTTCAAGTTTGCTGATTCTTTCTTCTGGCTGCTCAATTCTGCTGGTAAATGCTTTTTTTTTTTTTTTTTTTTTTAAGATTGGCACCTGAGCTAACATCTGTTGCCAAACTTCTTCTTCTTCTTTTTGTTCCCTCCCCAAAGCCCCAGTACATATTTGTCTAGTTGTAAGTCATTCTAGTTCCTTTGTATGGGATGCCACCACAGCAGGACTTGATGAGCAGTGTGTAGGTCCACACCCAGGACTTGAACCGGTGAACCCTGGGTTGCCGAAGCAGAGCACACGAACTTAACCACTTGGCCACAGGGCTGGCCAGCCCCAAGTGACTTTTTCATTTCAGGTATTGTACTTTTCATCTCCAGAATTTCTGTTTGGTTCCTTTTTTTTTTTTTTTTGATGAAGATTGGCCCTGAGCTAACATTGGTGCCAATCTGCCTCTATTTTATGTGGGATGCTGCCATAGCTGGCCTTGACGAGTGTTGCTAGGTCCCACACCCAGGATCCAAACCCATGAAGCCTGGGCTGCTGAAGTAGAGTGCACAGACTTAACCACTATGCCACTGGGCCAGCTCTGTTTGGTTCCTTTTTATAAGATCTATCTCTTTATTGATACTCTCATTTTATGCATTCATCATTGCCTGATTTCTTTCAGTTCTTTGTCCGTGTTTTCCTTTAGTTATTTGAGCAAATTTGAGACAGTTATTTTAATGTCTTTGTATAGAAGTAATCCAATGTCTGTGGTTCCTCAGGGATGGTTTCTGCTACTTTATTTAGCTCCTTCGAATGGGCCATATACTCTTGCTTCTTTGCATGCCTTTTTTGTTGTTGAAAATTGCACATTATAGCATGTTAACCATAAAAATAAGATTTCTCCTTTCCCTCAAGTTTTTTTTTCTTTTTGACTGTAGTAGGCTGTAGTAGTCCATTGGTTTAATGATATTTCAAAACTTTTTTTTTTCCTACAAAAGACTTTATTCCTTGTTGTGTGTGGTTACTGAAGTCCCTGTTCCTTTAGGTTGCATTCAGTTAGTGTTTTGATGGACATCTCCTTGAGCATCAGGAGGAATATCTACACCTGTCCCAGCCTTTGTCGATTGGCTCAGTGTTGCATTACTCCTCTGACTCTTAGCCAGGTTTTTAAAATAACCCAGCGTTTGTCTTCACTTCCTCCTGGTGCTCAGCCTAGTGATCAGCAGGAGATGAAAGCTTAGGGACTTTTCAGGTCTTTTCTGTGTATATGGTCTGCCCTTGGCATGAGTGTGGCTTTCTAAATTCCCCTAGTGTACATGTACCCTTTGAAATGCCCCAATTTGCCAAAAATATTCTCCAGTTTTCTTTCCAGGCTTCAGATAGTACCTTTTATGTTGTAACTACAATCTTTTGTCCCAGGCAGCTGTGGGGTTTTCCTTTTCCTGGCGATGTTTTTGGACAATGCCTGCCACTTTTCCTCCCTGAGTGAGTTCTGAGTTGGGGGAATAGAGACAAGCACCCTTTGTCAGTCCTTCAGGTTAACCAAGACAGGTAGGAATAGACAAACACAATAATTTGTGTATAAGATCTGCTGTGCTCCCTTCAGAATCAGAGACCACGGTCCCACCCTGGGAGTGTAGGCTGCCATCCTCAGGACTACTGTCAAACCAGGGAGGCGCCAGATCTGGAGCCAATAAAAACTCTGCAAAGCTTTTCTCCCATTTCTAAGTTGCCTTTTTTCTTGACTCAGCATTTGCTTGGTTGCTGTAAACCTTTGACTGTTCCAGAGTTCTGACATACTTGGTTCTGACGGTGTCTGCTTGTTTTCAATCTTTCTGTTGATTAATGGGTGTCTGTAGCTGCCTACTCTGTCATTTTGCTGATGTCTCTCCTGAGGCTGGTTTTTTAAAGGGAGGGTGACCAATGCTGCCTCTGTTTACAAACCTGTCTCTCTTTCCATGCCTGGGTCTCCGTGTGTGTCCCTGAGTCTTTGTCCTTGTGTATATTCGGCTGCCCTGTTCCTTCTGAAAGTCTCTCACTTCAGTGACTCACTTCCCCTCTCACTCTCTCCCAAGGGTGACCCTGGGGGCATCCTGGACTGTGATAGTTTCCTTCAGGGCTTCATATCCTTGGGACGATTTCTGTGTGACCTACTCAACAAACTCAATGTGTACACCAACCTCTGCCAGTTGTCTGACTGGATACAACAAAGTGGAAGCCAACTAAAGATAAGCCCAGAGCCTAACCCCTGCTCCTTGTGAATGTGACCATACTTGGAGACAGGGGCCTTTGTAGATGTTATGAGTTAAGATGAGGTCATCCTGGATTAGGATGGCACCTAATCCAATGACTAATGGCCTTGTAAGAAGAGAAAACAGAGACGAGGATGCAGTGGGAAGATGGCCATGTGGACATTTAGAGAGAGACTAGAGTTATGCTACCATAAGATGAGGAATGCCAAGGAATGCTGGAACAAAGGGAGCCTAGAAGGAGGCGTGGACAGATTCTGCCTATGAACCCCTGCGAAGGAAACAACCCTGCCAATACCTTGGTTATGGAGTTCCAGCCTCCAGAACTGTGAGAGAATAGATTTCTGTTGTTTTGAGGTACCCAAGGTGTGGTACTTAGTTATGGCAGCTCTAGGAAACCAATATAGCCAGGCTTTAAGGTCCATCCTTGTTGTGTGTGTGTCTGGTGCATCTCACTCCCAAATTCTGCTTATTGCTCCATAGGAAGCATCTACCACATGTCACTGTCCACTCTCCCAAAATGGACACCTGTCCTGCCTCCATCCCTCCACCGCCACGGAGAACGTGGCCATCCACCTCCTTGCCTGTGTCCTTGCAGAACCTGTGGGAGAAATGTCTCCAGACACTGCCAATGTTTCCCGAGAGGGAGGGACAAAACTGTGTCCATTTGAGAACCACTGGTCTACACCTGTCTCTGACTCTTCCTTTCTCCCCACCCCTGACTCCACAGCGCAGGACACACATCAGGAGGGCTGGGAGGGTCTAGCCTTGGCCAGGTGGGTCCTGAGCTTCCGGGGGCTCCACAACTAGAAAAGACAGATGATGCTATGACTTGCTTATTATTCTATTTTAATCGTGTTAGCAGGAGGGCCGGGCGTTCAGCTGTTTTTCTCTATGGTCTCCTTGATCCACTTCAGATGGGGCATCACCTTGGTGAAGACAAAGTTGTCGTTGAAGTCGGCACACTCGCTGTAGCCCCATGACGTGATTCCTTGAAACACACCGTCGCAGATCAGCGCGCCCCCTGAGTCACCCTAGGACGGAAGAGGAAGAGAGAGAGCGAGAAGAGTCAGTGGGGCCCCACCTCTCAGACCTGGGGTCAAAGATCACACACAGCGACCCCCCCCCAGCTATGGGCAAAGAGACAGTTATCCCCAGAGTCCACTCCCAGAGAAGGGAGGAAGGGATTTCAAGGGAAGGGAGAGCGGCTCACGTCCTGGCCACTGGGGATGGGATGCAGGGTCCAGGTTCTGCCCATGGATGGTCCCTGCAGACGGGTCAGGGGGAGGAGGAACAGGATCCATCTCCGGGACACTTCCTCCCTCAGGGCTCATCTCCGCTGTCATCCCTCCCAGGAAGCTTTCTCTGATGACACCCTCCTCTCCCAGGGGCACTGGGGAGCCATGGAAGGTGGGTGAGCAGGGGAGGGGCAAGGCCAGTTCTGAGATTAGAATGACCCCCTGGGCCAGGTGGGGACGGACTGGACAGAGAGACTGAGGGCCGAGAGCGTGTGAAGAAGGCTGGGGTGAGGGTCCAGGTGGGAACAAGGCCTGATCTGGGGCTGGGACGATGGGACAGAAAGGAGGGGACGTCAGTGAGAGTCAGGGGGCAGGAGGGACGAGCGTGGAGGGAGGGACCAGAGGGAGGGCTGCTGGTGGACTGAGGAACCAGGGGGAGGAGAAGGAGCAGGTTGGGTGGGAAACGCTGGGCTCAAGTAGGACTTGGTGAGAGTGTGTGTGTGTGTGTGTCGTGGGGGGTGTGAACATCTCCTTGGGGCTGCTCAGCTGACACTCAGGCCAAAGCTCAGGATCATCCTTAGTCCTCACCACCTCTCACTCCCACTGACACTCGGTCAGCGAATCCTGTGGGCTCCCTTTCGAGGTATCCAGAGTGGACTCCGTCTCCCCTAGTCCCTGCCACCACCCTGGCAGCCCCATCCTCACCCCCTACTGGGCCCCCTGCCTCTCCTCACCCCTGCACACTCACCCCACACGGATGCCAGAGGGACCTGTGAACACCCAACCCAGACCCTGTCCTGCTCCTGCTCAGCACCACCTGCCCCTCCTGGGTCCCTCAGAGGAAGAGCAAAGTCCTCCCCTGGACCCAGGGAGGCCCCGCAGGACAGGCCCTTTCTTCCCCGAGCCGTCACCTCCCGCCCTCTCCCCTGCTCGCTGGGCTCCACCCACACTGGCCTCACTGGTCCTCACACACACCAGGCCCACATCTCTTGGGGCCTCTGCACCTGCTGTTCCCTCTGCTCTTCCCCCAGACAGCACGCGGCTCACCCTCACCTGCCGCAGGTGTCTGCCCAGCCTCACCTTCCGCACGAGGTCACCCCCCTCATCACACCAGCCACCTCCCTGGCTCTGCTCTCTCTCCTCCCACCCCCACAGCTCCCTCACCTCCTGACAAGTACCATCACTTCTGTGCCATGTTCACTGTGTCTGTCTGTCTGTCTCCCCTCCCCAGAACGAGAGCTCCACGGTGGAGGCTGTTCTCCGTCTGATCACTGCTGTCTTCCCAGGGGCTGGGACAGTGTCAAGCAGGTAGCAGATGCTCAGTAAACACATGGTGAAGGAAGGAATGGGGGAACTATGATGTGGAGGAGTGAGATGCTGATGGTGCCCGGATGGGGGTGTCGGAAGGGCAGGCATATGCGGGAGGGAGCCGAGACACTGGGGGGCAGCTCCAGCCGGGAAGCAGGAGAGACAATGCCTGGTTAGGCACTCACACCCCGGCCCTGAGTCTGGGTCCACCCCCTCAGAGCTGCAGCATCTTAGCAGGAGAGGGCGGCTCACCAGGCAGATGCTTCCACTATCATCCCTGTGGGTAGCGCACAGCACGAACTCGGTCATCTTCTCTGGGTAGGCTCGGGCACACTTCTCATTAGACTGGAGTCGGAGTTCCACACACTGGAGTGTGCCTGACCCTCTGTCTATGGGCAATGGAGAGACAGAGCTGTGGCCAGTCGCACCTGGCTTTTCAGTCCCCTCCTCCCTCAGACCCCACTGTCTGGGCCCCCAGGTTCCCCCCTCAGACCCGCTGTCTGGGCTCCACGCGGTGTGTCCGGCCCTGGCGTACTTGTAAACGTGCTGATCAGGCCCCAGCCCGAGGTGTAGCAGGTGCTTCCCAGTTTGGGTTCCTGGGTGGGCAGGTCCAGGATCTTCACAGCGTCTGTTATCCGGGCGGGCTGAGCCAGGCGGAGCAGCATGAGGTCGTGGCTGATGTCATCATAAGGGCGCAGGTATTTCTTCTTCAGGAGGCTCAGGTCGAATTGTGGATCTAGGAAGCTGTCACTGACCTGGTGGAACTGGGCTGTGTCTTCATCCTCAGACAGATTGTGACGCCCCAGCCAGATCTGGTAATGGCTGGGGAGAAAGAGGGATGGAGGGAATGAGGAGGAGAGGGGAGGGGAGAAGGGAGATGGGGCAGGGGAGCCTGGGGGAGGGTCCCGAAGAGAGAAAGAGAAACAGTGAGAAAAACAAAGAGAGAGATAAGAAAGATCATGAAGAGAGAAGAAAGAGTCATGAGGAAAAATAGAGTGAGGGAGGAAAGAAAGAAATGTGACAGTGTGAAAGAGGCAGATCTGGAGAGAAATGGAGTAAAAGAGAGGTTAAAATGATAGAATGAAAAAGACAGAGAGGAGAATGAGAAAAAGAAGGAGCGGTTAAGATATAGGATGAGAAACAGAGACAGTGAGAACTCATCACAGGGAAGAAGCAAAGAGTGAAGAGGCAGGAGAAGGAGAAATAGAGAAAGTGAGTAAGCACGGAGGAAGTAAAAAGAGCAACCGAGAAACAGAGGAGAGCAGGCCAGGGATGGGGACACAGAGTGAGAGAGAAGAGGGGGGAGGGCGGGAGGGGGGGCAGAGGCAGGAGGGAGGGGCTGTTCTAAAGGAAAGTCCATTGGGGGAAAGTAACAGTTCAGGGTGGCAACAGCGTCTCATTGGCTGAGCTGCAGCATTTCTCATTGGCTGAGCTGCGGCGTTTCTCATTGGCTGATCTGCAACGTTTCTCATTGGCTGAGCTGCAGCGTTTCTCATTGGCTGAGCTGCATCACTTCTCATTGGCTGGACTGTTGCCAGGTGGGGAGAGAAATCTTCCTTCAGTAGCAAAGTGGTTTTACTTCCTGTCCAAGATGCAGGCATCCTTTGGTGTAACTGACGATGTGTGATAGGGCGTGGGAGCTCCCCCTACAGGCCTTCGCCACTCCAATTTAGTTGAGGTTTCTTTTATTAATTTCCACCCCTGTGTCCCCCTGGACGGACAACTGTCCTGGAGAGAGGGGCTGGGCAGCGTGAGAAGTCTCCCCCCCCCCCCATGTTGGGATGATCCCTTCCTTTTCTCTGGGGGTCCCTGCAGTCCCATCCTGGGGGTGAGTGTGCTCAGCGGTGATGGGGTAGAGGGAGTGGGGCAGACACCGAGAGAGAGAGAGAGATGGGGCGGAGAGATGGAGGGTGAGACACCCAGCGACAGAGATGGCAGCTGAGAGACCCAGAGATGGACAGAGACAGGGAGAGACACAGAGACATGGAGACAGATGAGAGGGGGAGATAGAGACAAATCATAGTCACACAGAGAGAGACACAACAGAGACAGGACAGAGGGAGAAACAGGAAGACAGAGAGACAGTTACATGGGGAGACACAGAGAGACCAGGCAGCCATGGCAGGGCTTCCCTGGGGCCGTCCAATCCCAGCCCTGCCTCTCTCCCTGGGCCCTGGACCAGTGCCATCCTTCTCTCCCTCAGCCCCCAGCCTCCCCTGAGGTTATCCCAGGGCAATGGTCCTGGCTGACCATTCCTGTGGGAGCACAGATGCCACCAACCCCCCCAGACCTTCTGCCCCTACTCACTCACTCATGCAGTGAGCGGCTGTGAGCACCCACTGGGGGTGCACCAGAACGCCCCCACACTGGAAGTGCCCTTGATGATACACAGCCACCTGCCAGGGTTTGGAATGCTTCTCACACTCCCAGCCTCCTATGATCCGGGACTGGATGGGGGGCAGGGCGCCTGTGAAAGGGGTGCTAGGTCAGGGGGGTGGAGGTTAGCCATGGGGCTGGGGGACTGAGCTAGAAGAGGGAGCTGTGCGGTGGGGTTAGGGGCACATGGGGGCAGAGGACCAGGCTGGGGGTCTGGGAACATGGGCAATGGGTGTTGGGAAGGACCTGGAATTCCTGAACCGTCCCTGGGATTTTGGGATAGTGGTTGTTTCTGGGTGAGGAGATTTTATGCAGAGAGCAGAGTCGACCCCAGGGATCAGGGTAGGAGACAACATGGCAGCATTTGGAGCAGCATGTGGTGTGGGAGTCGGGTGTTTTGGGGGTGACTTGGGGTCTTGGACTGAGGGAGAGGAAGCTGTGAATTCTGAGAAAGAGATTCTGAAAACCAGGGATAAAGGCCCCAAGAGAGCAGCCCAGATGCTGGGGGCAGAGAGGATTTGGGAGGTTAAGGGGAACTCAGGCTGTGAATGTTTAGGGCCAGCGTTGGGCTTTCAGGTCCTTAAAAGGATGCAGATTTGGGGAATCAGGTCCGAGAGGCCAAGAAGAGCGTCTGAGCTGGGGAATCTGGGTGTGATTTACGGTGCCTGGATTGGGGCTGGGAGAGTTGGGAGAATTTGGGGTTCTAAGTCAAAGAGTGAATGAAAGGCTTAGACTGGGAGAGATCCTGTGACGGTTTGGGGTCCTGTGAACCAGGAATGGCTTCCAATGGGGTGAGGGTTCTGGGGGATACGGTTCAGGTCAGGCTGGGGCCAGGGCTGAGCAGGGAGGGGTGAGTGATAATCAATGGGATAGGATATGGATTGGGATCTTTGTTTTTAAAGGGGATGAGGGTCATGGAGTGATTTATGGTTCATTTAGTCTGCTCCAAGGGCAGGAATGGAGAAGGGAGGGACGTGGGGGCCAAGTGGATGTAGGGTGGACTCAAGGCCCTGCTTGACGTGGAATCCTAGAATCACCTATTGGGGTACCCAAGGGAGTTCAGGGCAGGACAACGGGGCTTGTAAAGTATTGGGGCTCTTGAGGCTCCTGGAAAAGCAGAGATGCTAAAAGAAGGGATTTGTGTTGGAGAAGACCTGAAGCGAGGGAGTGATGGATTTTCTGTGAGAGAGAAGTTGCTGTTGGGGGTGTCTGGGTATTTTACTTGAGGAGAAGACTGGCAGTGCTGGATAGGGGTCTGGAGCAAAGATTCAATGAAGGAGGGGAAATGTTCAGAACCCCCATACCAGGGTGGGGAGCCCACTTGGAGTCACAGGTCAAGTAGCGTGGCTGAGAAGAAGCAAGAGTGTCTGGAGGCATTCGTGTGTCCGGCAGCAGGATTAGCAGCCAGAGGTCCAGGTCTGGGGGACAAGGTTGAGAGCTGACAGCTGGATGGGAAATATCACTGGGACCTGGTGGGACTCATGAGCTCAGGAGCCAGATCACTGATCCATAGAGAACTAGGTGGTAGAGGGGGATGATGAGGGTCCCAGGGACCCGTGGGATTGGGAGAAGACCTTGGAAGAATGGGAGACCTGAAAGAGAGACAGAGATGGCCCAGAATTTGCCTCTTTGGTAAAGTGGCTGGGGGCAGGGAGAAGGTTCTAGGAGCCCCTGGGAGGGAGCAGGGACTTAGTGTGGAATGAGGACTGTGAGGAATTTGATGAAGGTGCAGGGGCTGCGATAGGTTTTTAGGATGGAGCTGGGGAGACAGGGGGAGCCTGGTACTTGGGATGGACTGTGGGTTGGAGGGCTGTGTTGGGGTGGGCCGTGGGTTGGGGGATGAGGCTGGGGTGCTGGGGGAGAAGGGAAAGACATATGAGGAGGTGAGGGCCCGCTCCCCATCCCGCATCCCCTGCTCTGTCTCACCAGTCTCGCCCAGGGATAAGTCGAGGCACAGAACCAGGAACCACATGGTGACAGAGGTGTCCAAGGGCAGGCAGGCGGTGAGCCTTGAGCTGGAGAGCCTCCCTGGGGAGTCTTTTAAAGCTCTCCTTCCCCCAGGGCCCCACCCCTGCCCCGCAGGCACCCGGATGCTGGCCAAGGGCCTGCGCCTGCTGGCTGGGAGCTGGACACCTCCTCCCACGTGCAAGGCTGTTGAAGGGAGGGAGAGCCAGAACTTGTTTTCCTGTAGGTCTTAGATTACCCTGGGTGCGTTTTGGGGGCTAAGGCCAGATGCGGCAGGGCGTATGGCTCCTGGGGGCTTGCTCTTGAGGACAACATTGGTGAGAAGTGCCAGTGGGAGGGACAGAAATAGTAGGGTATCACTGACCCTGATACCATGCCTCATACGCCTTACCCCCAAGACTTAGTGTCCCCTGACGTACCAGCAGTGGGGCTCTGAGACCCCCTGATCCTTGCTACGCTCTGAGCCGATAGGAGAGCACTCCCACTTTCTGCGTCCCTTGAAATAGAAGACTTGGCTTTCAGAACTCCCTGATGGTTGCTCTCTCAGGCTAAGAATCTAGTTCTCTAATCTATTGATCCTCTCAAAACAAGCCCTTGGGGGTCTTAAAGATCCATAATCATAGCACCCCCAGAACCACAGGTCCTGGGGTCACCCAGAGCAAGTTTCCTAGCATTCCCAAATCCAATGTCCTCCAAAACAAGGCTGGGGTCCACATGACGTCCACTCCTTAGTCTCCAGATCTGGGACCTTGGCTTCCCAAGGATTCTGGATGATGTGCCCTCCCGGGACAAGAGCATGATCCCTGCAAAGTCTAAGGTGCCCTACTCTGTAAATAAGATATTTAGGGCTCAAGAGCCAGGTTTGTGTACCTCAAGATTGAGGTGGCCTTGAAAATCCCATTGTGGGGTCTCAGAGGAGAATCAGGAAGTATCCTCCCGTGGCCTCCATTGTTAATCTGATTAGGTTTTCTAGGCTTCCAGCACGTTGATTATCTCTGCTGTTCAGTACAACCAGAAGAGGTCACGTGGGGTCAGCCCAGCTGTGTGTCAAGAACTTGGTAAAATCTTCCTTCTTTCCTACATGAGAAAACAGAAGATCCTAAGATAGCTAGTGAGATGTAAGTGGGCACAGATAAGCACAGTTTAAAACCTTAAGGACTAGGGCAGAAGGATATGCTCAGCCAGTGGCCGGATCTCTGACACTCCCTCACGTACATACCAAAAGTTACCAGAATCACCAAGTGGAGAGAGGTGTGCCTCAGCTTGAGTGAGGACCTCCTTGATCCAGTGCTGCCATCTTGTTCCCATCTACAACACAACCAAAACTCGATCCAACTCAACCAACCCAATCCAAAGCAACCCACAGACGCCCAGCCAATTCAACCAACTACAGCACAACCTAACCCAATTTAACCCAACCCAAACCAACCACACCATACACACCTAAATCCAAGGCAACTCAGTGCCATCCAGTTTAGCTCAGACCAGCCCAAACCCATCCACACAATCCTGATCCAACTCAACTCAACCCGCCCAATTTAACCCAACCCAGCCCAACTCCCCACGTCTTCACCTTTCAAAATCAAACCAAACTCATGCCTGTCCTCGCGTCCAATTCTATCAACCCCTATCTCTGTGTCTTCTGCACTGGAAACCAAACCGACTCCCATTCCCAATTCAACCCACACATACGTCTCAACCGAAAGCAAAGCAAACCCATCCCCAACCCCAACGGTGCCACCACAAACCAACTGCACCATTGTCAGTCCCTAACCCAACCCCAGCACAATCCTGTCCCCATCTCTAATCCTGCTCCAAACCCACCCCCATTTTAACTGCTTTTTCTGCTCCATCCACAAGCCACCCTGGCATCCTCTCTGACCCAGGGAAACCCAGATCCAGTCCCCTCCCAACTCTCAAAGAAACCTCCATCACTCTTCTTAACTGATGACACCCTGGGCTCTGAACTCTCAGGAGTCCGAGCCTGCACCCTAAACTCCAGCACACCCCATGGTGTTCATCAGGGGCCCTGGATAGTCCTAGTCACAAGCTGTAGAGGAGATGATGAGTCCTTGCCCATCAGGACATCAGGAAAGGGCACATTACCAGTCTCCTCTGTTCTCTCTCAAGAACCTAAGAGTTTGGGTCCCATAGCCCTCTTCACATGGGGCCGGGACCTATAACTTCTTCCTCTTTCAGAACCCAGGACTCCTTCAAAACCAGCCGTCCAGACCCCAGCTCTGCCACCCCAAAGGCACGCTTTCTGAACCCAACTTATGCCCCCAGTGGACCTGCCTTCATCCCGGGTCTGGCATTGGGTCTCAGACAGCACTCCGTGTGGGGGGACGAGGGAAGCACTGCCGTATCCACACTTGAAGGGACCCCTTGCTGTGGCTGGGGGTGGGATGCACACTCCTCACCCTCCAGGAGCTCGTCACTGTCCTGGGCCACCGGGAGAGGTGGTGGAGGACCCCCGAGGACAGAGGCTTTTTCTTCAGCCCTTGCCCCATCCCTGCACCTGCCCTCCCTGCATATTCTTCACAGATGCCTCCACCGATTCCTGCAGAAGTCTCTGATTTTTATTTGCAAATCACTGCCCTCTCTCTAGCTTTTGCAACTGCCGCCTCTTTTCTCCAGAACGTTCCTGTCTCACCTTACCCCATTTTCTGTAGGACCTGTGGCACAGAGAGGAAGGGGGAAGGCAACAAGTTCCCTGTGATTGGGCGTTGAGATAGGAACCGTGGATGTGGGTTCAGACAGGTGGGCACTTGGAACCAGTCATCCCAGCTCGCCGACCTGTCGTGGACATCAAATCGATGTGGCCACTCACATACGACACACAGTTTTGACCTCAGAGTCTGGACATCTCAGTCAAACTCAAGGACACGAATGTGGCCAAACAAGGTCATACATGCACAACCAGACTGCCAAACGTAGATACTGGTATAGCCAGCACTTTCAGCTAAATTCACTCCCATGTACTTGGGTTGCAGCTTCAAGCATCACAACACAGATGTTCGTGTGTGTGTATATGAATATAGACAATTAAGACACGGGTGTGCATGCACACACACAGTCACGGACAGATTTGGACATCAAAGCTTAGCCCTTAACAGCCTTTCTGAACTGGACCTCTCTCTCACGGATGCTTCTCTAGTAGGCAGTGTGCAAGATGGTCTCTCCATCAGAGCAGGTTTGTTTATTGTCCAGGATAGTAAAAATAACGTGTCTCTCCAGAACAGATTTGTTTACTGTCCTGGATAATAAAGATAATGTCTTTGCAACAGATTCATTGTCTGCTGTTCAGGATAGTAAATAGACTACGTCCCTCCAGAGCGGTTCTGTTTTTGATCCAGGATGATAAAGATAATGTCTCCTTCCAGGGCCAAGGTTGGACAGGTTTGCTGGCAGCTCCCTTATGAGACTGAGGATTCCTGAGCTCGAATTCCACGTGGCTTATGCATAAATCACTGTGTGCACAGCACCCACCAGGGCCTCTCTGATCATCCTACAGGACTTGGGGGGCAAGGGGAATTGATGTGAACATGATGGTCGTGTTTCCTGCTATGCTGTGAGTAATACGTCCTTTGTCTCTGACCCAGGAGTATGGTGTGTTCCGCCAGTGTCTATAAATCGTGACGGGCTAACTTAATTGTTTGCAGGTAGGAAAATCTCAGACCCACCCCTGTTCTTGTCATACACACAGGCACTGAGGCTGCACCAGACCAGCTGGAGTTGGAGGTGGGTGGGGGCCCCGGCTGGGTGCAGTGGGGAGATAGAGGACAGGGAGAGGGGAGGACACAGAGAGAGCCTGAGGGGATGGTGCGGTGGGGGGAGGTTTGGAGAGAATCTCAATGATGAGGGTTGAGCGAGGGGGTTGATGAAAGTCCGCCCCACCCTCTCCAGGGTGGGGGCATCAAATCACAACAAATTGATTAGCATTTGGTGATTGATCATGGTGTCTGGAGTCCCCTTCCCTCAGAGTAACCCTGACCTTATGTCCGCTATTCTCTGAGTGACAACCACTTCCAGTGTGAAATGAAGGAGTAGTGCCCACCTCACAGGGCTGTTGTGAGGCTCAAGTGAGCATCTGTAAGCTCTGAGCACCGTGCCTGCCACACACTAAGCACTCAGCAGTGCTGGCACGCCCTCACAGGGGACTGCCCTGGGCCAGGCACGTACTAGTGCCTTACACACATGCCTGCACTGAATTCTCTACAACAACCCCGTGAAGGAGGGTGTCTGGTAGAGGATAGATCTTGCTTAAAGGGAAATGTTGCCTTTTCCCTGGACTCCTGAGAGGTGATCTGCACGTCTTTGGGACATTCTTCCTGCAAAGAGTGCCTTTGTTTATCTGCAAGACTTGAGCCCTATCGGATAATCTAACAATGTCATTTATAGTGGGGGTCAGAACAGCAGGATTTCTGAGGACTGGGGTGAGGCACTGACGTCGGCAACCCCAAATCAGGATGGATTTGTGGTTTGACCGAATCCTTGGTTGGGACTGTCCTTCCTTATCCTGTGTGGTCTCTGTTGCATCCAGCCAGTGAACAGGCATAGGCTGGTGTGGATGTTGGGCCAGTTGGCAATGCCATAGATGATTTCTCCAGTGGATTCAAGACCATGCATGAACACCACGAATGCCGTAGGGTTGTAGGAGCTGCCCAGAGAAAGAGACTGAGAGTCATGGAGATAAAGAGAGGAAGAAAAAAAGGCAGGACAGCCCCACACCTCAAAAACCACCTTGCAAAGAATGACTTCCTACAACCTATGTCCACTCCAGAGCCCTGAGTCTCCAGTGTGCTCCACCGTGACCTGGAAAATGGCAGAGTAGGACGCTTCCGGGGTTAGTCCCTCCACCAAAATGACCGTTAAACTATAAAGGATGATCAGAACCAACAATTTCAGAACTCTAAAATCTGATCAGACAGTTACAGCCGCTCGGGACTGCTTGATGAAGGTAGTGGTTGCTGGAATTCAATGAGAGAGTACTGCATGGGGACCAGCTCCCATCCTCGTTCCTCAGCCACAGCTGTAGGGACAGTAG